GACGTGCTGGCTGAGTGACACTGAGAGATGATGATGATGATGATGATGAAGGAGTGAGTGACGTGCTGGCTGAGTGACACTGATCGATGATGATGATGATGATGATGATGATGAAGGAGTGTCAGTCTGACGTGCTGGCTGAGTGACACTGAGAGATGATGATGATGATGATGATGAAGGAGTGTCAGTCTGACGTGCTGGCTGAGTGACACTGAGCGATGATGATGATGATGATGATGAAGGAGTGTCAGTCTGACGTGCTGGCTGAGTGACACTGAGAGATGATGATGATGATGATGAAGGAGTGTCAGTCTGACGTGCTGGCTGAGTGTTTCCAGGCGGTCAGCCTGCAGACCAGCTTGCCCTGTCAGTGTCCAGCCCCTGCATGACCTGTCCTGGACTGACCCCTGTGTTGTCTTGCCTGCAGGACACAGTGAGGTGGACGTGGAAGGGGCTGAGTTGGTGAGTGCTGGGAGAGCTCCTGTGGTCTGTGGTCTCCTGTGGGCTCCTGTAGGCTCCTGTGGGCTCTTGTAGACTCCAGTGGGCTCCTGCGGGCTCCTGCGGGCTCCAGTGGGCTCCTGCGGGCTCCTGTAGACTCCATTGGGCTCCTGTAGGCTCCCGCGGGCTCCTGTAGGCTCCTGTAGACTCCAGTGGGCTCCTGTAGGCTCCTGTAGGCTCCTGCGGACTCCTGCGGACTCCTGTAGGCTCCTGTAGGCTCCTGTGGGCTCCTGTAGGCTCCTGTGGGCTCCTGTAGACTCCTGTAGCACACGCCCTCTGTCATGTTAACTGCTGTGCTCTCCTTGCAGGACCCAGGTCATGTGGTACACAGCCTCTCAGCTCTACACCAACGTCACAGTGGAGGTAAACCCCCCCCCTTCACTTGGTCTTCCTCCCTCCCGCCTAGCCCCGCCCCCCTCAACACACCTCCTCTCTCCCTGTTGGCTGCAGTTCCTGCCTGTCTACACCCCCTCGCAGGAAGAGCGGGAGAGCCCCGCCCTCTTCGCGGACAACGTGCGGAAGGTCATGGCCAGGTGAGTGGCCGCGGGGCGCGTGGGCTGACCTGGGATTGAAGCGTCTTGGGCTCGGTCTGCGTCCGGAGCTCTTAACAGAGCCTCTGAGCCTCACTATCGCTCTGGTGCAGGACCCGCAGGCCCGGGGCTTCACGCTAAATTTAAGAACGTAAAGCAATACCCAAACATCCTCCTTCCTAGTTGC